CTCTCAACTCACGAAAATCGTCCCAATTTCCTCCAACCCGACACAGGCAGGACTTCAAATCTGGGGGAAAACCCCAAATTCCCCCCCCCCAAAACCTCCAAATTCCCCCCAGCAACCCCAATCCCTCCCAAACTCCCCATCCCCATGCAGACCACCCCCCCATTTTTTCCCGGATCCCGAGTGTGTTTTTCCTGTTTCACCCCCAAAAACCCCAAATTCTCCCCGAAAACCCCCCTCCCTGTGCAGACCACGTGTCTCACCCCAATTTTCCCCCAAATCTTGAGCACCTTTTTCCTGTTTCACCCCCAAAAACCCCAAATCCCCCCCAAAACCCCCCTCCCCGTACAGACCGCCTGTCCCCCCTGGTTTTTCCCCAAATCTGAGCGCATTTTTCCCGTTTCACCCCCCAAAACCCCCAAACCCCNNCCCCCCCAAAAACCCCAAACCCCCCCCAAAACCCCCCTCCCCGTACAGACCACCCGTCCCCCGCCGTTTTCCCCCGGATCCCCGGCACCTTTCCCGTCGCTTTCCCGCAGGATGGCGGAGCCGCCCGTGGTGCCGGTGTTCTGCACCGGCGTCTCGGCGCAGGTGCGGCGGCAGCGGGCCAAGGAGCTGGGGCTGGGCCGGCACGACAACGCCGTGCGCTACCTGGGCCAGGATTTCGGGCAGCTGGCCGAGGAGTGCCGGCGCTCCGGGACCCTGTTCCGGGACCCCGCTTTCCCCCCGGCCGCCACCTCCCTCGGCTTCCGCGAGCTGGGCCCCGGCTCCTCCAAAACCCGCGGCGTGCAGTGGAAGAGGCCCACGGTGAGCCCGGCTCCGCCGTCCCTGTCGTCCCCGAAATCCCGTGGGGATATCCTGAATTTTGGGGTTTTCCCGCAGGAGCTGTGCCCGCGCCCGCAGTTCATCGTGGACGGCGCCACGCGCACCGACATCTGCCAGGGAGCGCTGGGTGAGGGATCCTCGTCCTTTGCCCCAAATCTGTGGGGTTTGGGGGATGGTTGTGCCAGGAATTTGGTGGGTTTTGGTCCCGCCCAGGTGACTGCTGGCTGCTGGCGGCCATCGCCTCGCTGACGCTCAACGAGACCCTCCTGCACCGCGTGGTGCCGCACGGGCAGAGCTTCCAGCAGGGCTACGCCGGCATCTTCCACTTCCAGGTCAGCAAAGCCCGGCCTCGGGGCTCCCCTCTGCCATTCTGAGTGCAAATCCCAACGTTTTGGGGCTCCCAACATCACTTCAGGGCTCTTCTTGTCGTTCTGAGAGGTTCCCGCACCATTTGGGGGCTTTTTTCACCTTTTTAGGCCTCCCCTTCACCATTCAAGGGGATCCCCCGCAGTTTTGGGGCTCTGCTCTGCAATTTTGGGGTGACCCCCCAGCGTTTTAAGGATTTCCTCCACAATTTTGGTCACACCCCTAATTTTGGGAGGACTCCCCAGTACTCTGAGCCCTTTCCCCACCCAGTTCCTCATGTCCCATTCCCATTGTGGTGACTCCGCTGCCTTGTGGGACCCCAAACCGGGCGTTTTTCCCCCAAAATCTCCTTCCCTGCCTGAACCAGGGCGCTCCCCCTCCTCGTCCCCCCAGATCTGGCAGTTTGGCGAGTGGCTGGACGTGGTGGTGGACGATTTCCTGCCCACCAAGGACGGGAAGCTGCTCTTCGTGCACTCGGCCGAGGGCTCCGAGTTCTGGAGCGCGCTGCTGGAAAAAGCCTACGCCAAGTACGGCCCCTCCCCGCCCCCCGTGCCCATTTTGGGGCAGAACACCCCAAAAACCGCCCCGGCTGCCGCGCAGGGTGAACGGCTGCTACGAGGCGCTGTCGGGCGGCAGCACCTCCGAGGGCTTCGAGGACTTCACGGGCGGCGTCACCGAGTGGTTCGACCTGCGCCGGCCCCCGGCCGACCTCTACCAGATCATCCTCAAGGCGCTGGAGCGCGGCTCCCTGCTCGGCTGCTCCATCGACGTGAGCCACCCCGGGCGTTTCGGGGGAAAACCGGCGGGATTTGGGCTCGTCGGCCTGGGTAACGCCGCGGTGGCTCCTCGCAGATAACGAGCGCCTTCGACATGGAGGCGGTGACCTTCAAGAAGCTGGTGAAGGGCCACGCCTACTCGGTGACTGGCGCCAAGCAGGTGAGGGTGGGCACCAGTTTGGGGGGAAAACGGTGGATTTTGGTGGTGGAGCCCTGACGGTGCCGTCCGCAGATCCCGTACCGCGGGCAGGCCCTGGAGCTCATCCGGATGCGCAATCCCTGGGGAGAGGTGGAGTGGACGGGCGCCTGGAGCGACGGGTGAGGCTTCGTTAGCGCCAGGCTCGTTAGCGGTAACGAGCCGGGGCCCTGCTGACCCTGCTGTCCCCGCAGCTCGGCCGAGTGGCACGCGGTGGAGCCGGCGCTGCGCCAGCAGCTCATGGTCAAGATGGAGGACGGGGAATTCTGGTAGGAAAAATTCAACTCAAACCCCTTTTCCCGGCCGTTTCGTGCCTGGAAATGAAGGCAAACTCTTCCTGCAGGATGTCCTTCCGGGATTTCCTGCGGGAATTCACCCGCCTGGAGATCTGCAACCTCACCCCGGACGCGCTGCAGTCCCGCAAGTTCCGCAAGTGGAACACGCGGCTCTACGACGGGACGTGGCGGCGCGGCAGCACCGCCGGCGGCTGCCGCAACTACCCCGGTACGCGCCGGGGGACGGCCCCGGGCCCGCGGGGCCGGGCGCCCGCTGAGCCTCCTCTGCCCCCTCTGCAGCCACGTTCTGGATCAACCCCCAGTTCAAGATCCAGCTGGAGGAGGTGGACGATGACAGGGACGAGGACGGCGGGCGCGAGCCGGGCTGCAGCTTCCTGCTGGCGCTGATGCAGAAGCACCGGCGCCGCGAGCGCCGCTACGGCAAGGACATGGAGACCATCGGATTCGCTGTCTATGAGGTAACGGGATCGAGTGGGGTCAACCACCATCAACTGGGGTCAACCAGCCTTGACTGGGATCAACCAGCCTTGACTGGGATCAACCACCATCAACTGGGGTCAACCAGCCTTGATTGTGGTCAACCAGCATTAACTGGAGTCAACTGGCATCAACTGGGGTCAACCAGTATGAGTTGGCTTCAACTGGTTTCAACTGGGGTCACCTAGGGTGAATTGGGGTCAGCTGGCATTAACTGGGGACAATCAGAGTCACCTGGTGTCAGTTGTCACCAACCAGGTCCCCTGGTGTCCCCTCTCTCCGCACAGGTCCCTCCCGAGGTGGGTTCCGCGCGCCGGCGGTGCCGTTCCGGCGCGGCGCCGGTCGGGGCAGGCGGCCCCGGGGGTGTTTTTGGGGCCGTTTTTGGGGCGGTTTCGGAGCGTTTCCCCCCCGGTGCCCGCAGTACGTGGGGAGGTCGGCCGTGCACCTGAAGCGCGAGTTCTTCCTGGCCAACGCGTCACGCGCGCGCTCCGAGCAGTTCATCAACCTGCGCGAGGTGAGCACGCGCTTCCGGCTGCCGCCCGGCGAGTACATCGTGGTGCCCTCCACCTTCGAGCCCAACAAGGAGGGCGACTTCGTGCTCCGCGTCTTCTCCGAGAAGAAAGCTGGCACCGAGTAAGCGTCGTCGCGGCAGCGCCGGCGAGCCCGCGCCGCGCCCGCGCTCAGCCCGCTCTGTGTCTGTCCGCAGGGAGATGGACGACAAGATCCAGGCCACGCTGCCGGACGAGGTCAGCCGGGGACGGGGGGACGGGCTGGCGGGGCGCCGGGGTGCGGAGTTACCAAAATGGCCGCTTTTCCCCCCAGAAAGTGCTGAGGGAGAGCGAAATCGATGAGAACTTCAAGCAGCTCTTCAAGCAGCTGGCGGGGCCGGTAAGGGAGCGGTGGCGGTGACACTGGTGGCGGGTGATGGTGGCATCGATGGTTGGCCGTGACCTCAGTGATTGGTGGTGGTGTCATTGGTTGATGTTGATGTCGTCGGTTGGCTGTGATGCCATTGGTTGGCAATGACATAATTGTTGGGGATGGTATCCTTGCTTGGCAGTGACGTCATTGGTGGTAGATGACATCATTTGTTGGGCATGATGTCATTTGTTGGGCTTAATGTCATTGGTTAGCAATGATGTCATTGTTGGTGATGGCATCATTGGTTGGCTGTGATGTCATTGGTTGGCAGTGGCATCATTTGTTGGCCATTATGTCTTTGGTTAGCAATGACATAATTGTTGGTGATGGCGTCGTTGGTTGGCTGTGATGTCATTAGTTGGCTGTGATGTCATTGGTTGTCAGTTGCATCATTTGTTGGCCACGATGTCATTGGTTGACCATGACATCATTGGTTGGCCATGACGTCATTGGTTTGCTGTGATGTCATTAGTTGGCAGCAATGTCATTGGTTGTCAGTTGCGTCATTTGTTGGCCATGACGTCATTGGTTGGCCATGAAGTCATTGGTTGCCGATGATGTCACTGCTCGGCGGTGACACCGGGACCACCCCGTGTCCCCTCCCCAGGACCTGGAGATCAGCGTCACCGAGCTCCAGACCATGGTGGTGGTGTCATTGGTTGATGTTGATGTCATCGGTTGGCTGTGATATCATTGGTTAACAATGGCATCATTGTTGGTGATGGCATCATTGGTTGGCTGTGATGTCATTGGTTGGCAGTGGCATCATTTGTTGGCCATTATGTCTTTGGTTAGCAATGACATAATTGTTGGTGATGGCGTCGTTGGTTGGCTGTGATGTCATTAGTTGGCTGTGATGTCATTGGTTGTCAGTTGCATCATTTGTTGGCCACGATGTCATTGGTTGACCATGACATCATTGGTTGGCCATGACGTCATTGGTTTGCTGTGATGTCATTAGTTGGCAGCAATGTCATTGGTTGTCAGTTGCATCATTTGTTGGCCATGATGTCATTGGCTGGCCATGACGTCATTGGTTGGCCATGAAGTCATTGGTTGGCTGTGATGTCATTAGTTGGCAGCAATGTCATTGGTTGTCAGTTGCGTCATTTGTTGGCCATGATGTCATTGGTTGGCCATGAAGTCATTGGTTGCCGATGATGTCACTTGACCCCTGCTCCTTTGGGGAGGGATTTTGGGGTACATGGGGATGTTTTGGGTGACCCCTGCTCCTTCGGGGTTGATTTTGGGGTACATTGGGGGTGTTTTGGGTGACCCCTGCTCCTTTGGGGAGGGATTTTGGGGTACATGGGGATGTTTTGGGTGACCCCTGCTCCTTCGGGGTTGATTTTGGGGTACATTGGGGGTGTTTTGGGTGACCCCTGCTCCTCTGGGTGCTGATTTTGGGGTCCATGGGGGTGTTTTGGGTGACCCCTGCTCCTTTGGGTGCTGATTTTGGGGTACATTGGGGGTGTTTTGGGTGACCCCTGCCCCTTTGGGGGCTGTTCCTGCCAGAGCATCTTCCGCAAGTTCGACCTGGACAAGTCGGGCTCCATCAGCGCCTACGAGCTGCGCCTGGCGCTGGAGGCCGCAGGTGACCCCCGGGACCCCCCCCAGGACCCCTGCCCTTCCCGGGGGTCCCCAGGTGACCCCCCGGCTGTCCCCTGTCCCAGGGTACCGGCTGAACAAGAGGCTGCACGAGCTGCTCATCACCCGCTACGCCGAGCCCGACCTGGCCCTGGACTTCGACAGCTTCGTCTGCTGCCTCGTGCGCCTGGAGACCATGTTCCGTGAGCACCCCAAAGGATCCCAGAGGATCCCAAACCACCCCTCCTGTGCAGTCCTGAGCGATCCCTGATGATCCCAAATGATCCCTCCTGTCCAGCCCTGAGTGATCCCCAATCATCCCAACCAATCCCTCCCATGCAATCCTCAGTAAACCCAAACGATCCCAAGCGATCCCTCCCACCCCAATCCCCCATGATCCCAAATGATCCCTCATACACAGTTCTGAGTGATCCCCAATGATCCCTCCCACCCAATCCCAGACAACCCCAATGATCCCAAATGATTCCTCCTACCCAATCCCTCCCAGATCCCCAGTGATCCCAAATGATCCCTCATACACAGTTCTGAGTGATCCCCAATGATCCTTCCCACCCAATCCCAGACAACCCCAATGATCCCAAATGATTCCTCCTACCCAATCCCTCCCAGATCCCCAGTGATCCCAAATGATCCCTCATACACAGTTCTGAGTGATCCCCAATGATCCTTCCCACCCAATCCCAGACAACCCCAATGATCCCAAATGATTCCTCCTACCCAATCCCTCCCAGATCCCCAGTGATCCCAAATGATCCCTCATACACAGTTCTGAGTGATCCCCAATGATCCCTCCCACCCAATCCCAAACAACCCCAATGATCCCAAACGATCCCTCCCACCCAATCCCAAACAATCCCTCCCAGATCCCCAATGATCCCAAACGATCCCTCCCACCCGATCCCCAATGATCCCTCCCAGATCCCCAGGGATCCCAAACCATCCCTCCCACCCCGATCCCGAATCATCCCACCCCTCCCAGCCACTCTTTTCCCTCACAAATGGAACTTTCTCCCCACCTTTCCCTCCCCTCAGGGTTTTTCCAAGCCATGGACGTGGACCAGGATGGCGTCGTCACCTTCGACCTGCTGCAGGTACCAGGAAGAGCTCGAGGCCTTCCTCCTCCTCTTCCTCCTCCCCTTCCTCCTCCTCCTCTTGCTTTCCCCCACTTTCTTCACCCTGTCCTGCTCCCCTTCCTCCCTTACCCTCCTCCTCCTCCTCCTCCCCAGTGGCTCCAGCTCACCATGTTCGCCTGACCGGACTCTCCAAGTGCCTTCCAGGACCCCGCGCCGGTTTTTCCCTTTTTTTAGCTTTTTTCAGCAGAAAAGGCTGGATGGGGGGGTGGGGTGGGGGTCACACGGGACCCCCCCCGAGCTTTGCCAAAGCCCCCTGTCCCTCCCTCACCTCACGCTCGGCCCTTTTGGGACAAATCCTCTGGATTTTGGTGCCTCTTGTGCTGACGGAGCCCCGGCCGTCGTCCTTTGCTTCAGGGATCTGCTGCCCCCGGGTGCCATAAAGTGGTTTTTTATTGTATAAATTAAAAATGGGATAAAAACCAAAGGAAAAAAAAAGGTTATTTAAGTCAAAACTCTTTTCTGGCAGTTCTTTCTCCCCCTCAAGGTGGGGGGTAAGTGGGTCTCAAGGGCTCCAAAGTAACAGGTTTAGGGGTTGTCTTAGGGTCACAGATCATATATTTGGGGTTATATTCATATCTTTTTGGGATGTTTTGGTGGTTGTGACTTAAAACCCGGCGGTGTCTCCTGGGTGGGGGGTGCAGGACGAGGCTGCTGTGACTCACAGGGGATGAGGGCCGGCCAGGGAGGGGACCCCGGGCCTGGGGCAGAATCCCCGGGGCAGGTGCGACCCCCAGGCCTGAGCAGGACCCCTCAGACCCGGTTTGACCCCTCAGGCCGGGTTCGACCCCTCAGGCCCAGTTCCACCCCCCATACCCGGTTTCCCCATGAGGCCCAGGTTCCTGCCTCAGACTCAGTTCCCCCCCTCAGACTCAGATCCCCCCCTCAGACCCGGTTCTGCCCCTCAGGCCCGGTTCCCCCCTCAGACTCAGTTCCCCCCCTCAGACCTGGTTCCATCCCTCAGACCCGAGGAGGACCCCCCAGACCCGGTTCCCCCCCTCAGGCCCTGTTCCCCCCTCAGGCCGGTTCGGTTCCCTCAGAGCCGCCTCAGCCCCGCCCCCTCAGCGCTCTGAGGGCGCGAATTTTCCCGCCCTTTTTTCATCCCGCCCTTTTCCCCTCCCACCCCTGGTGGGCGGTGCTTGGAGCACGTCGGTCCCGCCTCTTCGCCCGCCCATCGTGCTTCTATTGGTCCGTTTTGTCTAAATCTGAATAACCACACCTTTTATTCCGCCTTCGCCACGCCTTCTCTCCTTATACGGCTTGGCCACGCCCTCCCCCTCACGGGGCCGCGCCCGCGCGGTTCGAGCGCGGCCATGGCGGAGCCGGGGATGGAGCCGGAGCCGGAGCCGGGCCCGGAGGCGGTGACGGCCGAGGCGGTGCTGAGGGAGCTGCGGCTCTTCGAGCTGCGCTGCGAGGGCGAGGAAGTGCCCGACAAGCGTGAGGGCTCCGGGGGGCGCGGACTGGGGGGAAGATGGGAGCTGTGAGGGATATCGGGGGGCTGGGGGTGTCAGAGGAGCTTTGGGGGTGTCAGCTGTACTGGGGAGGCCTTTGTGGGTGTCAGGGGAGCTGTGAGGGATATCGGGGGGCTGGGGGTGTCAGAGGAGCTTTGGGGGTGTCAGCTGTACTGGGGAGGCCTTTGTGGGTGTCAGGAGAGCTGTGAGGGTTATTTGGTTCAGGGGGCGCGCTGTGGAGGCCAGGATTTTGGGAGCTGCTGGGTTTTGGGGAGCAGAGAGGATTGAGGAGGTGACTGGGGGGGTACCCAAAGATTTGGGAAGGGGTCTCGGTGGGATTTGGGACCCCCCTTGTCCCCGCAGTGGTGGAGCTGTGCCTGAGCCACGGGCTGGGCCCGGTGGCCTTGGCCAACGAGCTGCTGGCCTTCGTCACCAGCAAAGACCTGGACCTGCAGCTGAGCGCCGAGGGCCTGGACGCCTTCGAGCACGAGGTGGGGGTCCCCGACTGCCCCCTTTGATTGCCCCAAGCCCCCCCGGGACGGCGGCGAGCGCTCACCCCGCGCTCGCCCCGCTGCCCCAGGTGCTGGCCAAGCGCGGCGGCCGCGGCCGGCGCGGCCGGGACGAGCGCCGGGGGCTCCTCCACGACATCCACTCGCTGCAGGAGCTGTATCCCCACATCCCGAGCAGATCCCAACATTCCGAGGAGATCCCGGGCAGTTTGGGGGGTCTGGCAGAAAGTGGGGGGCCGTGAGCTGTCACAGATCCCCCGTGGGGTCTGGGAATGGGAGGAATTATTGGATTTGGGGCTCCCGGGGGGGATTCACCCCAAACCCAGGAGCGTTTTTGCCCCTTAACGAGCACCAGCCTCGACGAGGAACAGGAGGACGAGCTGCTGGATGCCTACACCACCCCGTCCAAGGTGGGCATCACCCCAAATCCGCGGGGTTTGCCTTGAAACCAGCCTGGAAAGATCCTTTTCCCGAGCCTGTTCCCCGCAGGGCTCCCAGAAACGCAGCAATTCCACGCCAGAGACGCCCCGGCCCAAGCGGGCGCCGTCGTCCCGCAGCCCCTACGGGCTCTTCTCCCCCGGCAGCTTCTCCCCAAGGTGGGTGAGGGCTCCTGGGGGGCTCCCCTGAATCACCCCTTTCCCCTTTTCCTTCCTTTTTATTAAAACCCCACCGTTATGGAAGTTGGATTGGAGCCTTTTAGAAGCTCTGTAAATTTGGAGAGGTTGGTAAAACCCCACTGAACTCCTTGAATTACAAATCCTTTAAATGACGAACATTTGTCATTTTTAAAGCCTCATTAATCAACCCAAACCACTAAACCCTGTTAAAACACCCTGCTCACACATCAGGGAATTCATCCCTCCAAGTTCCGCTTATCTTTGTGCTCAGAACTGGGGTACCAGAAAGGAAGAAAACCCAAAATCCTCGGAGTTCCAAGGTGGGACAACTCCAGGTTTTCTTGTCCCCACAGTGTCACCCCCTCCCAGAAATACTCGTCCCGGGGGGGCCGGGGCGAGGTCGTGGCCTCGTTTGGCTCCGTGCAGGGCCCGGCCTGGAGCGGCCGCGGCGGCTGCGCCGTCAGGATGTTCGGCTGCCCCGAGCAGAGCCTCAGCAAACCCTACAAATTCATGTTCCAGAAGGCGCTGGACGTGCGGGAAGGTGGGGACGGACACCCTGGGTTTGGGGGGCCGGGGGGTGTTTGGGGACACCAGGGTCACCCCCAGCTCAGGAGGGATCAGAGATTTGGGGTCAGGGGGTGTTTGGGGACACCGGGGTCACCCTCAGCTCAGGAGGGATCAGGGATTTGGGGTCAGGAGGTGTTTGGGGACACCGGGGTCACCCCCAGCTTGGGAGGAGTCGGGGGTGTTTGGGGACACCGGGGTCACCCTGAGCTCAGGAGGGGTCAGGGGTGTTTGGGGTCAGGGGGTGTTTGGTGACACTGGGGTCACCCTGAGCTCAGGAGGGGTCAGGGATTGGGGTCAGGGTGTGTTTGGGGGGCCAGGGAGTGTTTGGGGACACTGGGGTCAGGGTTTGGGTCAGGGGGTGTTTGGGGACACCGGGGTCACCCCCAGCACTGGAGTGGTTGGGGTCAGGGGTGTTTGGTGACACCGGGGTCAGGGGTTGGGTCAGGGGTGTTTGTTAACTCTGGGGTCAGGGGTTGGGTGAGGGGTGTTTGGTGACACCGGGGTCAGGGGTTGGGTCAGAGGTGACACCGGGGTCAGGGGTTGGGTCAGGGGTGACACCGGGGTCAGGGATTGGGGTCAGGGGTGACACCGGGGTCAGGGGTTGGGTCAGGGGTGACACCGGGGTCCCCTCCCAGCGCTGGCCGAGCGCATGGAGGAGCTCGGGGAGGTTCTGCGGAGGCACCACGGCCTGGACGCCTTCAGCTCCGCTGTGCTCCCAGCCCAGGTGAGACCCCAGCCCCCTTTTTGGGGTGAACCCCCCCATTTTGGTTAACCCCCCCGTTCCGGGTTAACCCCCGCCGTGCCGGGCCCGCAGGAGCCGGTGACGGTGCTGGGGCAGATCGGCTGTGACGGCAACGGGAAGCTCAACGCGCGCTCCGTGCTGCTGCTGGGGGACAGGGAGCACTCGGGGGGGGCCCAGGTCCCTCTGGACCTCTCGGAGCTTCCAGAATATTCCCTGTTCCCGGGACAGGTGCGCCTTTGGGGGGGCTCTCCTCCCCTCCCTGCCCCTTTTCCCCAATTCCTTTTCCCCCCAATCCCTGCTCCTTTCCCCTCCATTCCTCCCCTTTTCCCCAATTCCTGCCCCTTTTCCCCATTCCTGCCCCATTTCCCCCCCAGTTCCCACTCCTTTTCCTTGATTCCCACGCTTTTTTCCCAATTTCCCACCGTTTTCCCCCAATCCTGGTGTCCCACAGGTGGTGGCACTGGAAGGCACCAACAGCACGGGCGGGAGGATGGTGGTGACCAAGCTCTACGAGGTGACCCCGCTCCCGGGGGGATTTGGGGTGGAATTGGGGCATTTGGGCTGGAGTTGGGGCATTTGGGCTGGAATTGGGGTGTTTGGGGTGGAATTGGGGTGTTTGGGGTGGAATTGGGGTGTTTGGGATGGAATTGGGGTGTTTGGGGTGGAATTGGGGCATTTTTGGACATTCCTGCTTTCCCACAGGGGGTCCCTCTGCCCTTCCACACCCCCACGGAGCCGATGGCAGGTGAGCCCTGGGGCCTCCACTTTTTGTCCCCATTTTTGTCCCCCAAATCCTCGTTTTTATCCCCAAAGTGCCCTTTGGATTCTGTCTCCCCCTTTTCCTTCCCCAATCTCCCTTTCTGTCCCCAAACTCCCCTTATCACCCCCAAATCCCCCTTTCCCCCACCCACAAACTCCTTTTTCCCTCCCAAACCCCCATTTTGGGATCCCAAATCTCCCTTTTTGTCCCTAAATCCCTTTTTATTGCCCCCAAGCCACTTTTTCTCCCCACCCCCCTTTTTTCCTCCCCAAATTCCCATTTCCATCCCCCAAACCCCCCCATGCTCCATCCCTAAACTTCCCCCTTTTCCCCCAAACCCCCTTTTTTTCCCCAAAAAACCCCGATTTTCCCCCAAAACTCCTTTCCCCAGAGCAGAGGATGGTGCTGGTGGCCTGTGGCCCCTTCACCCCCTCGGACAGCGTCGCCTTCGAGCCCCTCAGTGACCTCCTGGAGGTCGTGGCCCGCGACCGCCCCGACGTTTGTGTCCTGGTGAGGAGACCCCCATTAACCCCTCATTAACCATCCATATTAATTACCTCCCTCATTATTAACCCTAACCCTCACCCCGACCCCGCAGCCTCAAAACGCTGGGGAGGCTCCAAACCCTTCAAAATTCACATTAAAATCCCATTTCTGAACCCCAAAACAGCCATTTTTCACCCTAAAAGTGCCCAAAACCTCTCATTTTTCACCCAGCAATCCCCAAAATCCCCATTTCTCACCCCAAAGTGACAGAAAAGCTCAATTTTAAGAGCAAATGCTGCCCTTGGAGTCAAATCCTGATTCTTGCCTGGGCACAACGCATCAATTTCAGCCATTTCCCTGTTTTGCTCTCATTTTGCCCTGAAATTTTAGGGGTGTGGTCTAAAATTGGGGTTCACTGATGAGAATTATTTAAAATTATCTTTTTTGGTGGAGTGATTTAAAATGATTCTCTGCTGCTTTTCAACATTTCCCTCCTTTCTCCACAGCTCGGGCCGTTCCTGGACGCCAAGCACGAGCAGGTGGAGGTGAGGAGGGACCCCCCCCCAAAATCCCCTCAATCCCTGCGGATTTGGGGCAGCACCAGACCCCCAAATCCACGGGAATTGTGCCAATCCTGTGGTTTTTTCCCCAATCCAGAGCTGCCAGCTGCTGAGCCCCTTCTCCGACGTGTTCCGCCTCTGCCTCCGGACCGTCATCGAGGGCACCCGGAGGTGGGGAGGAAAACCCCCCAAATCCCCCATTCCCACGGGGTTTTTTTTCCCCAAAAACGCCACTTTTCGCCCCAAAACTCTCTCTTTTCTCCCCCCCAAGCCCGTTTTTCCCTCTTTTTTCCCCAGTGCTGGCTGCCAGCTGGTGCTGGTGCCCTCTCTCCGGGACGTCTCCCACGACTTCGTGTACCCGCAGCCGCCCTTCTCCTTCCCGGACCTGCCCAAGGAGGACAGAGCGGTACCGGCCCCAAAATTCTGCTTTTTCCCCCAAAAAAATGAATTCCCAGCCCTCCTGGCAAACCCCAGCTGGGATTTGGGCTGAAATCCCCCCTTTTTTTTTTTTTTTGCTGCCGCAGCTTCCAGGGGGGACAAAGGATTTGGGGTTGGAATTCCAGAGCTCCCAACTCCCCTCCCAGCCCTTTTTGGGTTCAGATTCCTTCATTTAATCATTCTTTACCCCTTGGGAACAGATCTGATGTTCCTGCAGAAAATCCAGCTCCGGATTTTGGGGAACGTTTTGGGGGCTTAAGCAAAACTTGGTAGGATTGGGGGAGTTTTGGGGTGATTTAGGGCCAATTTGGGGCGTTCCAGAGCAGATTTGGGGCATTTCAAGGTGGGTTTGAGACATTTGAGGAGGTTTGGGGCATTCCAAGGTGGGTTTGGGGCATTTCAAGGTGGGTTTGAGACATTTGAGGAGGTTTGGGGTGTTCTGGGGTGGCTTTGGGGCGTTCTGGGGTGGCTTTGGGGCGTTCTGGGGTGGCTTTGGGGCGTTCTGGGGTGGCTTTGGGGCGTTCTGGGGTGGCTTTGGGGCGTTCTGGGGTGGCTTTGGGGCGTTCTGGGGTGGCTTTGGGGCGTTCTGGGGTGGCTTTGGGGCGTTCTGGGGTGGCTTTGGGGCGTTCTGGGGTGGCTTTGGGGCGTTCTGGGGTGGCTTTGGGGCGTTCTGGGGTGGCTTTGGGGCGTTCTGGGGTGGCTTTGGGGCGTTCTGGGGTGGCTTTGGGGCGTTCTGGGGTGGCTTTGGGGCGTTCTGGGGTGGCTTTGGGGCGTTCTGGGGTGGCTTTGGGGCGTTCTGGGGTGGCTTTGGGGCGTTCTGGGGTGGCTTTGGGGCGTTCTGGGGTGGCTTTGGGGCGTTCTGGGGTGGCTTTGGGGCGTTCTGGGGTGGCTTTGGGGCGTTCTGGGGTGGCTTTGGGGCGTTCTGGGGTGGCTTTGGGGCGTTCTGGGGTGGCTTTGGGGCGTTCTGGGGTGGCTTTGGGGCGTTCTGGGGTGGCTTTGGGGCGTTCTGGGGTGGCTTTGGGGCGTTCTGGGGTGGCTTTGGGGCGTTCTGGGGTGGCTTTGGGGCGTTCTGGGGTGGCTTTGGGGCGTTCTGGGGTGGCTTTGGGGCGTTCTGGGGTGGCTTTGGGGCGTTCTGGGGTGGCTTTGGGGCGTTCTGGGGTGGCTTTGGGGCGTTCTGGGGTGGCTTTGGGGCGTTCTGGGGTGGCTTTGGGGCGTTCTGGGGTGGCTTTGGGGCGTTCTGGGGTGGCTTTGGGGCGTTCTGGGGTGGCTTTGGGGCGTTCTGGGGTGGCTTTGGGGCGTTCTGGGGTGGCTTTGGGGCGTTCTGGGGTGGCTTTGGGGCGTTCTGGGGTGGCTTTGGGGCGTTCTGGGGTGGCTTTGGGGCGTTCTGGGGTGGCTTTGGGGCGTTCTGGGGTGGCTTTGGGGCGTTCTGGGGTGGCTTTGGGGCGTTCTGGGGTGGCTTTGGGGCGTTCTGGGGCTCCCCAGGGCGTGCCCAGCCCCGTGTCCGTGTGTCCAGCGCGTGCTCCTGGTGCCCGAGCCCTGCACCCTGGACATCGACGGCGTCGTCTTCGGCCTCACCTCCACCGACCTCCTCCTCCACATGGGGGCTGAGGAGATCAGCAGGTGCCTTTTTTTCCCTTTTTTTTTGAGCTTTTCCCCCTGTTTCTTTAACCTTTTTCCCTTTCTGTTTAACCTTTCCTCCCCTTCCTTTAATCTTTGCCCCCTTTAGTGTTTTCCCCCTTTTTCCTCCTTTTTTCTCTGCCTTTTCTCTCTTCCCTTCCCCTCCCCAAATCCCCTTTTTCACCCCATTTTCCTCTTTTTCCCCCATCCCTTTTTTCCCGTTTCCTCCCTTTTCTCACCCATTTTCTCTCCCCTTCCTCCCACAGCTCCTCCGGGGTCTCCGACCGCTTCACGCGGATCCTGCGGCACGTCCTGACCCAGCGCAGGTGAGGCCCTCCCAAAAACGGCTCTGCAGGTGGGTTTGGGGCATTTCAAGGTGGGTTTGGGGCATTCCAGAGCAGATTTGGGGCGTTCCAAGGTGGGTTTGAGACATTTGAGGAGGTTTGGGGTGTTCTGGGGTGGCTTTGGGGCATTCTGGGGTGGCTTTGGGGAGTTCTGGGGTGCCTTTGGGGCGTTCTGGGGTGCCTTTGGGCGTTCTGGGGCTCCCCAGGGCGTGCCCAGCCCCGTGTCCGTGTGTCCAGCGCGTGCTCCTGGTGCCCGAGCCCTGCACCCTGGACATCGACGGCGTCGTCTTCGGCCTCACCTCCACCGACCTCCTCCTCCACATGGGGGCTGAGGAGATCAGCAGGTGCCTTTTTTTCCCTTTTTTTTTGAGCTTTTCCCCCTGTTTCTTTAACCTTTTTCCCTTTCTGTTTAACCTTTCCTCCCCTTCCTTTAATCTTTGCCCCCTTTAGTGTTTTCCCCCTTTTTCCTCCTTTTTTCTCTGCCTTTTCTCTCTTCCCTTCCCCTCCCCAAATCCCCTTTTTCACCCCATTTTCCTCTTTTTCCCCCATCCCTTTTTTCCCGTTTCCTCCCTTAACCCCTTTTTCTCCCCACCCCCTGCAGTTTCTACCCCCCGTACCCCCCCTCCGAGGAGCTCAACGTGGATTTCGAGGCGCTGGCGGCGTTCGCGGCGCTGCCGGTGACCCCCGACGTGCTGGTGACCCCGTCCGAGCTGCGCTTCTTCGTCAAGGTCAGCCCCCCGAGCCCCCCCCGAGCCCCCCGGGGGGAATTCCAGCCGGAAAAACCACGGGAAGGGCCGGGAGCAGGGAGGGGAGGGCCCAAATCTCCGTGAGCCAGCGGGTTTTGGGGTTTGGGTGGGCTGGAGCTGGGGGGTGTTGGGGTCTGAAAGGGCTGGGGGGTCCCAAATCACCTGGAACCAGCGGGTTTTGGGGTCTGGGTGGGCTGGGGAGTCCCAGTTCTGCTGTATCCATGGATTTTTGACACTCCCCCCTGTCCCCTGTCCCTTTTCCCTCTTCATGTTCCCTGTCCCCATCCCTGTTCCCTGTCCCTTTCTGTTGTCCCTATTCCTTTTCCCTGTCCCTGTCCCCATCCCTGTCCTTTATCCCTGTCCCTAATCCCTGTCCCCGTCCCTATCCCGTCCCCTGTCCCCATCCCAATCCCTGTCCCCAATCCCTGTCCCTGTCCCCATCCCCGTCCCTGTCCCCAATCCCTGTCCCCTGTCTCCATCCCTGTCCCTAATCCCCGTCCCTGTCCCCTGTCCCTGTCCCTATTCCCTGTTCCCATCCCTGTCCCTGTCCTGTCCCCTGTCCCTAATCCCTGTCCCTGTTCCCATCCCTGTCCCTGTCCCCTGTCCCTATTCCCTGTCCCCATCCCCGTCCCTGTCCTGTCCCCGCAGGACGTCCTGGGCTGTGTCTGCATCAACCCCGGCCGTCTGACCAAGGGCCAGGCCGGGGGCACCTACGGGCGGCTGCTGCTGCGGAGGGAGCGGCATTCCTTTTCCCTGTCCCTGTCCCCATCCCTGTCCTTTATCCCTGTCCCTAATCCCTGTCCCCGTCCCTATCCCGTCCCCTGTCCCCATCCCAATCCCTGTCCCCAATCCCTGTCCCTGTCCCCATCCCCGTCCCTGTCCCCAATCCCTGTCCCCTGTCTCCATCCCTGTCCCTAATCCCCGTCCCTGTCCCCTGTCCCTGTCCCTATTCCCTGTTCCCATCCCTGTCCCTGTCCTGTCCCCTGTCCCTAATCCCTGTCCCTGTTCCCATCCCTGTCCCTGTCCCCTGTCCCTATTCCCTGTTCCCATCCCTGTCCCTGTCCTGTCCCCGCAGGACGTCCTGGGCTGTGTCTGCATCAACCCCGGCCGTCTGACCAAGGGCCAGGCCGGGGGCACCTACGGGCGGCTGCTGCTGCGGAGGGAGCGGCACGGGGACAGCGCCGGGGACAGCACCGGGGACAGAACTGGGGACAGAACCGGGGACAGAACCGGGGACAAAACCGGGGACAAAACCGGGGACAGTCCTGCAGAGAACCCCAGGGACAGCTCTGGGGACAGCCCTGGGGACGCCCCCCGGAGCAGCCCCTGCGTGGCCGCCCAGGTCGTGAGGATCTGAGCTCCCAGCTCTGCCCGCTGCACCCACGGCCGCAGGAACTGGGCTGAAACTCCTGGAATTGGGGTGAAACTCCTGGAATTGGGGTGAAACGCCTGGAATTGGGGTGAAACTCCTGGAATTGGGGTGAAACTCTTGGAATTGGGGCTAAAACTCTTGGAATTGGGGCTGAAATGCCTGGAATTGGGGTGAAACTCCTGGAATTGGGGTTAAAGCACCTGGAACTGGGGCTAAAACTCCTGGAATTACGGTTAAAACTCCTGGAATTCTGGTTAAAGCTCCTGGAATTCTGGTTAAAGCTCCTGGAATTCCCGTTAAAACTCCTGGAATTCTGGTTAAAAACCCCCAAAATCATTCTGCCCGTGGAGGATTTCCCCAGGAGAGTTCAGGATTCGCCTCCAGTAAAATGGAATTTGGGAAGGGGGATCCTCCCTGTCCCGGCACCACCCCTCGCCTTCGGTGGCCTCGTTAGGGGAGTTTAATTAGTCCAAAACCAATTAATTACAGATTCCTGGTGCTGCTGCTTCCCAGGAAAAAGCAGCTGCGGGTCTGGCTTTGACCCTTTTCGCAAACTTTTTGCCCCAAATTGATGATGATGAAGGTGAAAATGAATTAAAGTTTCTGCCCGTCCCGGTGTCGTTTCCTAAGGGAAAAGGCAAATCCAAGGGGTGGATTTTGGGGTAAAACCAGGCAAAATTGGGGCTGGGCAGGGAGAGTCCCCTCACAGCTCTGGTGTGTGGCTGGGATTTTCCCAAAAATCTCCTTTTTCTCCCCAAATATCCACAGGAAGTGCTGAGGTCACCTCCCAGTTCCTCCTCTGCTCTTTGCCCAATTCCAGCACTTCTCACCCCAAAACAAATACAGTTTTTCCAACATCCATAAAATCTTGTTTTCCTCTCATTTCCAGCTTTATTTCCTTTTTTTTTTTCTTTTTTTGCACCTGCAGGGGAGGGGAGCAGAACCCCATTTCCTCCCAGTTTTCCCCTTGGGTTCTCCTCCCCCAGCCTCAGTTTCCCCTGGAAAAACTCCGATTTTGGTTAAAACAGCAGCGGGAGGAGCCAGAGCTGGGTCCTGGGGGGAGGATTTGGGGAATTTTGACTCCTTCCCCCTACAGAGCCTCCACCGTTCAACCCCATCCCTAATTCGGGATTTAATTCGGGAATTCCCGAGGGTTTTGGGGCCGGGATTTCCAGGTTTAATTTTCGGGGCTCTTTGGAGGCCGGGGGAGCTCCGGGAATTCCCGGGAAGGGAAACGAGGCTGGGATGGGGCCTGGAATCCGCTGGGGAGCGGCCGCGCTGGGACCGATCCCGAATCCCGGCTCCGATCCCAAATCCCGACCCTGATTCCAAATCCCAATCCCGAATCCCGGCCCCGATCCCGAATCCCAATCCTGGACCCCGGCCCCGATCCCAAATCCCGGCCCCGATCCCAAACCCCAGCTCCGATCCCAAATCCCAGCCCCGATCCCAAATCCCAGCCCCGATCCCAAATCCCAGCCCCGATCCCAAATCCCAGCCCCGATCCCAAATCCCAGCCCCGATCCCGGATCCCGATCCCGGGCTCCGCAGGTGACACCGCCGGGAATTCGGGAGAGGGAAGGGAAGGGAAGGGAAGGGAAGGGAAGGATCCGCTCGCATTCCCGGGATGCTGCGGGGAGGGCGGGCACAGCTTTTCCTGCCCTCCCGGCCGCGCTCGCGGCGCTGTCGCATCCCGGATTTAAAGGGAAAGCAGCGATTCCTTCCTTTGATCCGGGAAAAAAGCGCGGATCCTTCCTTCACAGCCCCCCCGCTTCCCGGCTTAATTAAACCAGCGCTTAATTGGAACCCCCGGCTCCGCCCGCTCCCGGCTTAGAGCGGCGGAGGAGCCCCGGAAAGGCCCCGGATCCCTGGAACAGCTCCTGGAAAAGCCCCTGGATCCCTGGAACAGCTCCTGGAATACCCCCCTGGATCCCTGGAACAGCTCCTGGAATACCCCCCTGGATCCCTGGAATAGCTCCTGGAATACCCCCCTGGATCCCTGGAATAGCCCAGGAGCGGCCCCGGATCCCTGGAACAGCCCCGGAGCTTTCCCCAGGAGCAGCCCCGGATCCCGGCCCGGCCCTTTCCGGGCGTTCTTTCCTGCGAACAGGAGAATCCCTGGATTTCCGAATCCCTGAATTTCCTGAACTCTCGGATTCCTGAACCCCCGGATTTCCTGATCTCCCGGATTTCCAAACCCCCGGATTTCCGAATCTCTAAATTTCCGAACTCCCGGATTTCCTGATCTCCCGGATTTCCAAACCCCCGGATTTCCGAATCTCCGAATTTCCAAACCCCCGGATTCCCGATCTCCCGGATTCCCGACCCCCCGGATTTCCGACCCCCCGGATTTCCGAGCCCCGCTCCCGGGACTGTCCCGGCCCGGGCGGACTCCGACCCCATCCCCGACCTGCGGCCGCTCCCAGCGCGGCTCCTGCGCCGCTTCCCGGCAATTCCGGCCCGGGAGGAGCTGCTGCTGCTTTTCCTGCATTTTGGCTTTTCCCGTGGATTTTTTTTGGCACCGGGAGGGGTCGGGGTGTGGCCGAGGCCGAGACTTCTTCCTTCCTTCCTTCCTCATCCTCCGGCTTCCCCTGGGCTTGTCCCGAAATCGGGATTTTCCTGGGAAAAGGGAGGATCCCCGGCTGTCCCCTGGCATGGAATTGTCACCGCTGCGCTGCCCCCGGCCCGGACTCTCCGCTGGATTCCCGAGGTGGGACGGCACGAGGGGAATTCTTTCCCGCTTTTAACCAATTTTAACCAATTTTAACCAATTCCGGCTCTTCCCGTGCCCAGAACGGGGTGGGATCTCACGGACGGGTCCCAAAATCCCCATTCTCTAAAAAAAAACACCCCACGACCTTCATCCCAAAGGGCTCCTCTTCCTCCCTCCGGCTCCTGCAGCTCCGGGACCGCCGGGAAATTGGGCATTTCCATCCTTTTTTTTTGGGAAAATCCATCCTCCGGAGCGATCCCGGGGCAAATCCGGAGGCGGGGATTGAAATCGGGCACCAAAAAAAGGCTGGAATGGGTCGGGAGGGAGGAATGGGAGGAACCCGAGGAGGTTTTGGAGGCTGCTCCTCCCTCGGGCCATTCCCATGGGAAAAGGAGATTTAATTCCATCCCCGAATCCCCACTTGGGGAAAATGTGGTTGGGATTGCTCGTGGGGACACCGGGGCTGCTCAGACTGCGCCAAAATTCCTGAAAATTGGCTTAAAAACACCCCAGATTTCTGTGGGGCAGGGCCCAAAATGCTGGAAATGGGCAGGAGGTTGGAATTTTTACGGAAAAACTCAGGGAAAAGTAAAAATGGTGAGGTCCTGAAGCTCAAGGGGCTGAAAATGGGCGGAAAATTTCAGACTGAGGTAGGAATTTCCAAAACCAGGTGGAAAAGGAAGGAAATTTCCAGGTTGTGAGAGGTAAATTTGTGGCAAGAGGCAAAAAGATCCCGATTTTTTTCCTGAGCTGAAGCCTGAATTTCCAAGAACGGGTGGAAAATGAAAAACCTGGATGTGCTGAAGCCCAAAGCGCTGAAAAAGCAACAAAATTTTCCTGTAATTTGCAAAAAAAGAGCCCAAATTCCTCCCAGTCCAGACCCTAAATCACAAAAAAAAGGAAGGAAAAGGAACAGGATTTCCTCTGTTGGAGCTGGAATTGATGGAAACAGGGAAAAATTCCTCAAATTTTTCTCCGTGGGAATGGAATCTGCTGATTCAGGCGATTCCAAGGGTCGGAGTCCTGGGAGCGTCTCCTGGAGCTCCTCCCCCTCGGATCCTGGGGAAAACATCCCTTTTTTCCTTGGTTTTTCCCTGTTTTTCCCTGTTTTCTTCATTCCTGACTCTCCTTCGGACGTGTCCTGGGTTCTCCTGGGATTTCAGGGATGGAAACTCCTGGAAATGAATTATTCCTTGGAGTTTTCCTCGTGGTTTTCCTCCTTTTCCAGCCCATTTTCCACCTGTTTGGGATCTCCCCGCAGGGATGGGGAGCGCCGCGAGGAGCGGATTTGGGGGTTTTGGGGATGGAATCGCCCCCATTCCCGGCATTTCCCTCTCCCAGCACAAAGGGAATTCAGCTCCTGGAACATTCCCGGCTTTTCCCGGGGCTTTGTCCCGGCCCAGCCGAGCGGGAGCAGCCGCGGGGGAGGGACTGAGGTCAGGGAGGGCACTTTGGGGTGGGAAAAGGGATTTCCAGGAGGAGAAGGATCCCGGGGCACCGACAGCTCCGGGATGTTCATCCCCATCATCACCATCCTCAGCCTCACCTGGGAATTCACATTTCAGAGCCTTTTCCCCCTCCAAATCCCCCTTATTCCCTCCAAATCCCCTTCTTTTCCCCACAAATTTCCCCCCCCCATAATTCCATTTTTTTCCCTACAGCCCCGCTTTTTTCCTTCCAGTTTCACTTTTCCCCCACTTTTCCCTCTACAATTCCCCCATTCCCGACGGCCCCGGTGGCGATCCCGATCCCGAAGGAGGATTCCCTGTCGCTGTCGCTGTCGCTGTCGCCAGCCCGGCGCCGCCGCCCCCTCCCGTCCCTCGGTGCCGCGCTAATCCCGGGATTAGCGGCGCTGCATTCTGCACCGTCAGGATTCTCCTGCCGGGCCGGGGCCGGGGCCGGGGCCTGCCCCGATCCCCGGGATCGCCCCGGGATCGCCCCGGGATCGCCCCGGGATC